ATTCTTCTTCAACCTTATCAATTATTCGCTTATTAATCCTGATTATTTTTGTATAATCATATCTGTTAATTGTTCACTCTAGTGATTATGTGTCTGTAACTTATTTTTGTCTGAATATAAATATCGAGTCACGCCTGATTAAATCGAGTTGGCTCACTCACCTTCGATGAGCATCACTTTGTTTTGTTTCGTTTTGCTTCGCTTCGTTCACTTCGTTTCTCTGATTGTCTGTGTGGATCAATGAATGTATGAAATATACCTATTCTATTATTCTCTAACGCGAATTAAGTCGATAATTATATACAAGGGTTTTGGCGGTATGAATATTTCAATAACAATCATCATATGATTTAACTGGATTCAAATATTGAACCACTAAAACCGGGGTGTTAAGATATCTATAACTTTATCGTTTTGGATTTATTTGTTTTTGTTTCAGTTTTTTTATCGCTATGGTCACGGTGTAACCCATGAAAATTAAAGTTTTTAAGATATTGATTATTTTGAACGACTTTAAAACATCACTTTTGCGTTTACTATGAAACAGATGATATTTGAAATACACTATTGAAAGTACACTGACCATTATAGAATATAATCCAAAATCAATGAAAATCCCTATCTTCTGTTATGTCAATATAAGTGATTTAGCACGAATATATCAGTCAATCAGTCAGTAACAATGTGGAACTTCGTACGTACGTACATAAGTTCAAGTTGCCTTACCACATTCGTACAGAGATGCAGTTGTCGATTCGGATCCCGTAGTGGTAAGGGTAGTAAGAGTATAAGCAGTAATCCGAAAGATTAAGGTTTGAAAATATTATTTAAGGAGTATAATCCAGTAAAGTAAATTTGGAAAGAGCAAAAAGAGATATGAAGAATTGATATTAGAATTTGGGAGAACACAAAGAATGGATGCACCTGTACCATTTCAAACGATTTTGAGCCATGTCATTCAAAGTCTCTAACCATCAGTTGTTATCATCTCGCGGACCCCAACCAGGTAGTCTACACCTACCTACATATATATATATATATATATATATATATATATATATATATAAATCGGTAAATATAGTTGGAGATAACATAAAATGGGAATTTGTCAACTTTTGTATATCTCTATGGGCAATTTGTTTAATATAACAAAACTAGTAATAAAGAGGCTAGATATATCCATTTACATGATCAAACACTATTCATATCTATTCATGTATTCAATGATCACTTTCTTTCTGTTCCATTAATTAACCAATAATATTAAAGAAAAATAGTTTACATTACATAAATCTGTAATATTATATAATTGGAATATATTTCAATTCTGTGCAATACAATTCATATCTTGGGTACACATATACATACATACAAACACACACACACATATACACACCTAATCAATGATAAACGAAATAGTTCTGATTTGATTGTATCATTTTTAGTTAAAGACAACAACAACAACAACAACAACAACTTTAAAGAGGATCAACCGTTAAAAATAGCAGAAAATGAACAAACTATGCACTAATTCAAATGTCCTAATCTCTTAGTCTCTTATAAATGTAACACAAAAAATATGATCTAATAAAAAGAATGGATTATTACGTAATAATTAAAAGGTTCATTTGTGCTATTTTCCATCGGTTTTATACTTTATCATTCAATGTATTTAAGCTTATTGATGAAAGAAAGTAATCTCTTCATATTGATAATTGTAATTGTAATTATGATATTAGTGGCTTAGAACTTGTAATTCTGAAAATGTTTCTATGAAATTACTTTTTTTGGGGGGGGGGCGTGTTACGATATCATTTTTTAATTATATGGACATTCAATAGTTAGATGGTGGTTGTAGGTAGTTGACAGGAAACCGTGAACCTAGGTTTCGTGCTACTTGGCACTCTTCAGCAAAGTGTGCATGTAATCTTGAGGGTAATGATGCTCCCTGACAGATTCTACCTCGTATCACCCAGCTTCACAGTCAGAGACGTTACCACTGAGCCATCCGGGCCGTGACCGACCTTCTGTAGGACTAAGATGTAACCACAGTTGATTAATCACTGGGTGGTGATCAATGTCATGTGTGTCTAGTCCTTATTATTACTGCAGATCGAATGCTATCGACCATGTTGCAATGTGGCTACCACCATCTAATCTCACAATAGTGCCCGCAGTGCCGATTCACCTAGACTGGTGGTCATTACATTCAATGGCTATCATTTTCAGTGTCAATTAATTTACTCTTATGAGCAACCGTCAAACATTAGTATAAGTACTAGGTGCCTGAAATCCTATTTAGCTCTATTGATAACTGCATATCACTAGAACTTCAGGAATTATTCTAGACGTTAATCACCATTACTCATATAATAATAATAATAATAATAATAATAATAATAGTAATAATAATGAGAATCTGAACTATGTCCATTTTGGGCTAGATCACATCCCTCTGTATTAACAACTGAACATTAGATCTCCTACCAGATTACTATAGTCAATTTCGAGTGAATTGATAATCCCTGTTTGTCTCTAACTTACGTTTCTCAGTATAAAATTCAAATAATTTAACAGACAGTCGTTTAATAAATAAGTCTTCTTACTGCCTTCAATGATCTAATATCGAAACATATTACATATTTTGATTTTATAGTTGAATTCACGAGTCAATTGGAGCTAGACAACCATGGAAAACCTGGAAGCACTAGTCGGCCGTTTCGTTTCAGTATAGGACTTCTCAGTAGTGCGCATCCATGAACCCAAGACCTGTAAGTCTCGCGCGTGAACCCCTTGCTACTAGACCACTGAGCCAGCATCTAAGAGTGTTGGTGTCTAACTTCAACCAATCCACCATATTGCTCCACTGTTCATCATTGTCATCAGTGAATTACTATCTCACAACAGACCCGGCTGAACTCCACTGGTCACGGCTTCTCACTAGAACTGTTGGAAATATCTCTTGAAGCCCGTCACTAATGAGCGCATGAGCACCTGGGTTTGAATCCTGCGGACGAGATCATGGATGCGCTCTGTTCAAGAGTCTCACACTAGGACGAAACGGCAGTCCAATTCTTCAAGGCTTTCCATGGTAGTCTAGCTTCAATTGACTCATGAATTCAACTATTTAAATTGCTAAAATATCCGCAAAACTTCTCTTTGATATTACATATTTACATTCAATAATCAAACATTTTATTTAATTGTACAACTGAAACAAAATATTCATCTCTTATCTTCCACTGTAACGATTGATTTGTTCAACTGTCTTTTTTAATCTTAGTAGTTAATGGTAATGAAGAAAGAAACCAGTTTCATTTAATCTACTCTCATTTATTATTGTATAACATAAGAAAAGTAGATGTCTTGTTATATCTCTATGTACCTTGAAAGTAACATGTGAATTATCAAAATTTACAATCTACACAAATCCCCAATATTGATAATAATCACCATATGCTCACTACTATCTAGATTTAAGATAAATTCTAGTGAGGAGCTGTGGCTAATGAAATTCAATCTGCGTTGGATGGAGAAAGTTAACCACGTTAGACAATGGATGAAGTGTTACGTAAGAACATGAATCGATTGAAGTTAGACATTAATACCGTTGGATACCGACTCAGTGGTCTATGGGTTAAGCATTCACGCGTGAGACCAAAAGTTCTGGGTTCGAGTCCCACGTATAGGATCATAGAAGCGTACCGTTGATGAGTCACATACTAGAACAAAATGGTCATCTAGTGCTTCTAGATTTTCAAGGGTGGTTTAGCGTAGATTGACTGGTGAATTCAACTTTGAAGATTATCAAAGGATTATCAATACTTTCAATAAGATTTTAAATCATTCCTTTTGATTATACTTATATTTCTTTCTACGAAGTAATTCTTTCTTTCTGTATTATATCCTTATACGTAATCTTTCTTTTATATATTATTATCATTGAAGTAACTACTTCTATGAATTTGGTGTTCATCTTGTTGTGCTAATGAGGTATGGCAACGTGGACCGATGAATATATGTGCCTAGTCCTACGTTGTATCTGACTGACTGACTGACTGACTGATCTATATTTCTGACATGAGATAAAGTATATATTTAATAATGACCGACAAAGATTATGAAGTAAAATTGTTTAATGTGGGTGTGTGTGTGTGTGCATAGTTATTTGATTTGATAATTTATTTCAAGTATTAACATTAATTAATAAACCATTATAATTCAGGGAATGTTTGAAAATACTTTCATCACAGCAAAGTTCTACAACAACTCAAGTGTACAACATTTATGTATTACGATTAGTTCTCTACTATTTAACCAACAAATGAAATTATTCATGTCAATATGTATGTTTCAGCATGTTATATTTATAATTATTGATAGCGGATGTTAAAATTTACACTTTGCTGACGAGTTCTAAGTAGCACGAAATCTAAATCCAGGGTTTCTCCTCCACCTATCATCTTATCTCAACATAGTACACTCAATGTCAAGTCATCTAGACTACCGGCCACATTGTAATTTGGTCGATAGCATTCGATCTGTACCAAGAAGGACTTGACACACATGATATTGATCACCATCAAGTGATTAATCCTATAGGAGGTCGGTCGCGGCACGGATAACCCAGTAGTAAATTCTCTGACTATGAAGTTGGGTGACACGAGGTCGAATCTGTCAGGGAGCACCAGTTCCCTCAAGATTACATGCACAACTTGCTGAAGAGTGCCAAGTAGCACGAAACCTGGGTTCACAGTTTCCTGTCAACTACCTCCAACAACTATCTTATCTCAACATAGTACACTCAATGTCAAGTCACCTAGACTGGTGACCACATTGAAATTTGATCGATAACATTCTATCTACACTAAGAAGGATCTGACCTACATGACATTAATCCACCACCCAATGATATTCACAATTATCCTGTTTAGATGATATAGTGTATCTATAGAAGTAAAACAAATTTATGCAATAAACAATATTTTATGATTACTAACCTGCTATTAAACTGGATACAATCAATGGTATAATTAACATTTTTAACATATTCATTAATAATTCACCAGGAAATGATAAAAGATAGATTGTTCTTGGTGATGGTGTGGCATAAATTTTAACTAATAAACCAATTGTCATACCCAATATAACAGCTAATACAGTGAATGTAACAAATAAATTATCTAAATTAGTTATCCATTTCTTAAACTAAATAATAAACAAAGAAGAAAAAAACAAACAAAGAAATTCTATTTTATTCATATATAATTTCAATAATAGAAGTTTAGTGTGAATGTTTATAATGAAATGTGAAATTCAATATGTCAGTCAGTTAATCTTGAGTGCTATTAGAAGTATGAGGGTGGTTATCACTTCCCAGTTGCCCACACCGTGGAAGGATTCTTCTGGAGGTAATTGGAGAGGAAATTGGATTAAAAGTGGTCTTAGTGACCTGAGAGCGTGATTGCAGTGCCCAAGGGTCAACTGCTTGAGGTCGGTCACAAAACGACCTTTTTCTGGGTAATTCTCGTTTTAACTCCGTACTTGTTAAGACCTTACCGCCGAAGACGGATATCCGTAGGATAAGGCGAGGTGTGCATTGTCAGGATTGACTTTCTCTAACTCCACCCCTCCTTGTGAGAAGGCAGCATCGCTGTTATGATGGTTGTCTGAAGGAAACACCTTACTGCCGTCACACCTCTGTACAGTTAGCAGTAAGACTTCGCTCTCAGACCTTGGGTTTACGACTTTTAGTCTTAACGCTCTTCAACCGACCTTTCTGGCATAGTAGGACCTTGAGGAACGATTGTTCCAGCCATTAAAGCTCAATTGGTTCATCACAATAAGCAAGCCTGACCGCCACCTCAAGGTAGCCCCAACGTATTATACACTGAACTACAAAGTTCAGACAGCTGATACATAATGCAACAAGTGTGAATTTCTTTCAATGAGTTTGTAGAGAAGATCTCGATTCATTTCAGAGAATCAAATTGAATCAAGCTTTGTTAAGGTTTTTACATAACAAAAAATGTTGTGTTACTAACAGCGGATTAAAAACAATGGAATTTCCGATATACATTTTGTCAATGGTTAAGAAATATTATTTTTTTTATTTAAACACATGAATATTGGTACAAAGGGGCACCGAATACATATGCGACACACAAGTAACTTGATTTGTATGTGGGCTGGGATACTGTCGGAGTGCCTAGACCGAAGCAGATGGTTTTCTTCGGGGACAGAGCCTTTGACCTAAATGTCTAATGCACAAGGCAGTAGTGCATCATAAGGAGATGTGATCCAATTGAAGCCGGTGACCGACAATTGGTTCATACGCCATATATTTCTTTAGGATCGTGTAGCCCATGTAGATTATTGGTTTTTAATTAGTGTTTTCCAACTCCCTTAGGTGAATTCTCCGTGTGCATCAACCCGGTTGAAGCGCCGAACATTCGCTTTTCGTCCTCTTAATTTCGTAAACAACAGTCATGGCGCAAGAAGTCAGTGAATAAGACTTCTCTGGTAGTGATTATATATGAGTGGACATCTGGAAGCATCCGTAGAGGAAGAGATGACTCTCCCCACTCTCGGCCGTACCAGTGCATTAGTCATTATCTATATTTTTGTCTAAATTTCATATAGAATTCAAGGACATTGTATGTATCCTTTAGTTTCCTAGTTATCTACAACTAATACACCAAATCTATATGGTTATATCAGTTATGTAAAAGTCACTTAAAGTAATAACTCATTCAAACATACATAGATCATCCCAATAAATTTTTGTCATTGAAACTCATAATTCAGTCAGTCAGTCGGTCAGCTACAACGTAGGACCAGGTACATATATGCATCGGTTCAAGTTGCCATACTGCATTAGCACAACAAGATGAACACCGGATTCATAGGAGTAGTTAAGTCAATGATTATTCCTACAATATTAGGATTGAACAACTGTCTTTTACCGTTTAGATTACAATATTCATTCAGGTAATTTCAATTTGTGTTATAAACCAATTTTGTTTGCTCAAATACTTCGACATATGATCACATTATAACAAGTGACATATTACCTCAATTCATTTGATTCTATTTATAAGCATTCATAAACTGTAATAGAATTATTCCCAAATAAATAAATCCATTTAGTATTGTTTTACTTAAATCTTCCTATTGATGCTTAGCATTACAATCGATTAGTCCCTTATTGGCACATATACATACTGTACGTATCCAAGACATGCGTTTTATCCTCAATAGATAAGTAAATAACACGATAGCGTTTTGAAGCGAACGTTACTAGGTTCAAGTCCAAAAGTGTACATCAATTCTGACATGATAGTACATCCAACTGACGAGTCTTAAATCAAACGAAACTTACTTCTTGTATTTCACGACTAATCATTATTCATCTTTACTTATAACTAATATCATATTATCATAATTGAATTTATAAGTCAAATCTAAATTGAGATCATTATTGATAATCTCAAAATACAAGACGATCATTTCATTCTTAGTATAATATTCAAATATTAAGATTATTTCAATGATTAAGATCATGAATCAGTTGAAGCTAGACCACCATGGAAAACCTGGAAGCACTGGACGGCCGTTCCGTCCTATTATGGGACTTCTCAGCAGTGCGCATCCACGACCTCACCCTCTGCGACATTCGAACCCAGGATCTACTGGTTTCGCGCGCAAGCACTTAACCACAACACCACTGAGTCGGCATTCAACAGTGTTAATGTCTAACTTTAACTAATCCACGAAATTGAGCTTCCACTGACTCATTGAAATTACTACAATCTTCACAAAACCCCTTCTGATATTATGATTATATTGTTCTAACATTTTTACAACTTCCTACTACATTTAATCTTATCAGAAGATTTAAAAAACCAACAACAAAAAAAATTTGGGAAGAAACACAAATAGAAATCTAACATGAAATGTGAAAGTAATCCAATTGTGAATGAACTAAATTATGTCATGAATTACTTGTTAATTTTTACACAAGTTTCATTCATTGTATTTTATTCTTCTTATTGTTATTTCTATTTGAATCAATGTTACATTCAATTGATTGATTTCCGGAGGTTAGATCAAATTTAGAAATAGATATCAATATTAGTGATATCTAACATTGGATCAGTTCATCATTTCAATAATCTTTATTACCTTAAATATGGGAATGTATTTTCATGGAGTTTTGTTCTTTGAGTAAGATTTCAAAAGCACCCAACGAAGAAAATACAAACAACTGCGTGATCAATCTATCAAAACAACCATTAATAAATATGGAAGAATACCTAATCCAAAAAGGATTAAACTACAACATAATCGATGCCTCAAAACTAGAATTCTTCGCAGCACTAAAGTCATCACTCAAAATTTCTGGATGCATTGAGGATACACAATAAGAAATAAGGCAAACTATAGTACCGCTAACTCAACAGGTGAAGGAAAACAATCAATTGACCCCACAAGAACAAAAAGCCTTGAAGGAACTTAGAACTAGAAAGGTTATTGTCATAGTTCCAGCGGACAAAGGACGCACAACAGTAATTATGGACAAGGAGGAATACCTCAAAAAAGCCGAACAACGATTTGAAGATAAGAACACATACAAACGGATAGATATAAATCTTGTCAAGAAATTGGACAACAGAGTCTCAAAAACTTTAAACAAGCTAGTCAAAGCAGGAGAAATAACAAAAGAAGACCATTGGAGAATGAAATCCAATGGACCATTACTCCCCCGATTCTACGGCAGACTAAAAATACACAAACCAAACATTCCACTACGTCCAATTGTAGCACTGCCCGGAACGCCAACATACAGTTTATCAAAAGAAATTTCGCTAATACTGAAACATTTAGTTGATTCATCCAAGCACTCCATCAAATCCCCTACACAATTCTTGGACCAAATTAAGGACATTCAAATCAACAACGACAAACTGATGATATCCTTCGATGTAACAGCATTATTCACCTCAATTGAACCAAGGTTAGCAAAAGAAACTATATCCCTGCTCCTCGCCAACGACACAAATCTCACAAAGTACACAAAGCTTTAATTTCAAAGTTCATCCAGCACAGAGAACAAAGCTCCATCAAAATCATCCACGTGGGCTACAAATCTTCTCCACCACCTCATGTATTTTCAATTCTATACCATAGGATATGTGTTAAATGATAAGTCTATAAACAGTTGATATGTTTTTTTACTATACTATCAGAAGAAACTTGTTAACTCCTCCTAGAACCCCACAGAGGATACTGCCGGTTCCAAGCTTGGATAAAGCAGGAAGGTTAGACATGAGGGTATGCGACTTTATCCTGTAGAACACGCTGACCGGAAAAATTAATTCAAACCTTTTAAACTCTGCTCTAGGAGTTAGTAGGTCTCAGAAAACCTTGTTAGAAATCGCTATATTAAATTATTCTTTTTCAAGATGCCACTAACGTTAACGATTTAGTCGTAAATATCAGGAACAACATAGTACAAACTTTTACTTGTGATTATATGTGTATATCAAATTGAATGAACAAGTTGGTACTCATTTAAATTCACTAGCTTACTGAATAACATGTTAAATGTATGGGGATTTGTGAAGATTGTGGTATTTTGACATCTGAATTCATGAGTCGATCTAAACTAGACCACCACTGAAAACCAGGAAGTACGAGACTATTGTTCCATCTCCTGTAATACAAATCCACAACCCTATTACAGCGGATCGAAAACAGCGCTTAACCTTTAAAACAATAAGCTAGCAATGCTTCAATTAATTCACGATCTTACATAATCATCTTCTATTTCATTGCTGACAAGTTCCATACTAGAACTAAACAGCTGTCCAGTGTCATCAGGTTTTTAATAATTCTCTAAATAAAACCAATTCATGATTTATAATACATTTTCCACAAAATCATGTCCACCACCACCACCACCCCCCTATTATTTTATTTTTTTATCATTTTCACCATGGATGCATATTTATTTTCAATATTGAAAAGCATGTGAGAAACTACCATAGGTTGACAAAAAGATTATCCTATTGTTTGTACACAACCTCTCTTTCCTTGTTTTCTTTGTTTACATTAATTCTCTTCATTTAATTGAATGATTTATCTTTGTATGTCAAATTTAAGATAACAATACAGTTCAAACCTTCATTTATTGTCTTTTTCCTTCC